ATATAAGCATAAAAGGCCTAACCAACAATCTCATTATGAGTCTGGTTATAGTATGATTATAAATAGTAAATATAATTGGGGTAATATATGAATTTTATAATATTACTTGTATTGAGATTGATGAATAGAGAAAGAAAGATGAGAGAGATAGAAAAAGATGTTATATTTACCTACTAAATATGAGTAATATATATTCTATATTTAGAAACCAAAAAGTGGTTTGGATAAATATAAGAATTTTATAATATTAAAAATCTCTTATATTTATCCTTATTTACCACCCATAATCATGCCCTTAGAATCTATTAATAAAGTAACGAAATGGGTCTGGTCCGCTAACACTAAAAATCCTAAGGAACTATAAACCCTAATCTCTACCTCATAGAAGCCAGAGAAACGGGCCGCTGTCGCCATCGCACAAGAAGCCGAAGGTCACAAAGATCAGCGGCGAAGATTGTGCCTGGCAGAAGTGACGCTGACAGACCACATCTGACGGCATAGGTTCAATAGATCCGAACAATACTCACGGAATAGACTGAAGTTCCATGCATGCCGAGCGAATTACCCAACCTATAAAGCGGGCCAACTAACCAAAACCTAGAAAACCTTCGAATGTAGAGATGACGTGACGACTAACCTCCACCATGTGCGGGTAGTCATCAGAGAAGCCGAAATGGATCTTAACCACCACACCAGACAATAGCAAATCTGGAATCCACTACTACAAACCAACACAAAATCAGAGAACGAACCTAAGCAAGGAGCATACCAGAGAGCGAGTGGAGGTTTATCTTGTTCACGGTAAGAAGGGAACCGGGAGAGAGGAAAAGATCTATGTGGAAGAGAGATCGTTGGGAGAACCCGACTAAACCGTATATCTACCAATCGCGAGTATATCTGACAGAAAGAAGAGACATTCGTTGAGTCTTCACCAAGAGACCACACACTGGGATACAATCGCTGAGTCTGCAAAGCGACGACCACATCGCCACACCAGTCCGGTGGCAACAGAGAAAGCTTGAGCGAGAGAAACAAGGACATGCGAACAAGACGAGATGTCGCGCTTAGAACTGGTATTGAGCTTAGCAAAGCCTCTATCATAAAGCTGCCACCAGCTTTAGCCAGAGGTACCGAGGAACACTGCCGAAAACTTGAGAGGAAGCCAAATCTTCATTGGAGAAAGAAACCACACAACGGATGAAGTACCGTAGGCCGCAAAAACGGAGGTGAGGTCTTACTAGGAGCCGGCGAGAGGCAGTTGTCGGTGAGGCAAACTGTGGTAAAAAAAACCNGCTAGGGCGACTTTGAGATTTTAGAGAGAAGGGAGAGTGAAAACCTCTCTNNNCNCNNTNNTNNNTTATNTTTANAGGGAATTTGTGATGC